ACACTAATCCTGCCACTTACTGAAAAGAACGAAAGCAACAGTAGGTTAATTGCTGTGGGAGTTGGTTGTTTAGACCCTTACCCTTTAATGAGCCCTTTCATTAAAGACCTTTCATCCTTTCTTCAGCACTGAATGTCAGTAACAACGAAAGGGGAAATTGCATGTCTCCAATCTTTAACACAGACAGTGGATGCAAATGGCTACAGTTTAAGATGAAACTTTAAAATTAGTGCTTTTTTAAAAGTTTGTGTCAAAGTGTGAAAACTATATGCACCCACAATAGCACTTTAGGTTGTTTTTGTAAAGACCTCTCGCCATACTAAAATGTACAGTGAGTATGCAGCCTGAAAGATGAGAACCAGGGAATAAACAGCAAGGAGTCACTGCACTGCTCATTGTTCACCTACTATGCATGAGTAAGAGTGTCTGCCTGAAACTATAAATGTTAGGGTTGTAGAGAAATGCAGTAGGGTTTTGAAATGTGAGAGGGACGGTGTCTCCCTGCCCCCAGTAGAAATGATGTGTGTTGGTCAGTGGGGTGTTCTGCTGGTTAAAGCTTCATTCCCTCCCCTCCCATTCTTTGTGGTCACAATTAAGTTGTTATCACAGCTTTTTCAGTTTTCAGGCAATTTAAATAAATGTCTAACAGCAATGTGATTGTGACAAATACCTGCCAGGTGGCTTGTCATTCTAGTGCTGCTACAAGACATCGATGAATTCAGTAGACAAAATGAACATGTTGGAGGTTTATGGCAGCCTCTGTATTGTGCATATACCAGTGTTTAAAATGAATGAAGCAGCCTCTCAATTTGAAGGCTTCAGTACACCTCAGTTTATTTTGTCTACATATTTAAAGTTTCATTTTTAACATATTGTGGCCTAAAAAATAGGTATCAAAAGTCATTTCAGTTGCTCTAGGTTCCTGTACTAAAAGTCCAGTTCATGTTCACATTGTCACTCTAAGGTGACTGACAGTTGGATCCATCCAGCCATCCATCCATCCATCCATTTTCTTCCGCGTATCCGGGGCCGGGTCGCGGGGGCAGCAGTCTAAGCAAAGATGCCCAGACCTCCCTCTCTCCAGACACTTCCTCCAGCTCCTCCGGGGGAATGCCAAGGCGTTCCCAGGCCAGCTGAGAGACATAGTCCCTCCAGCGTGTCCTGGGTCTTCCCCGGGGCCTCCTCCCGGTGGGACATGCCTGGAACACCTTCCTAGGAAGGCGCCCAGGAGGCATCCGAAAGAGATGCCCGAGCCACCTCAGCTGGCTCCTCTCGATGTGGAGGAGCAGCGGTTCTACTCTGAGCTCCTCCCGGGTGACCGAGCTCCTCACCCTATCTCTAAGGGTGCGCCCGGCCACCCTGCGGAGAAAGCTCATTTCGGCCGCCTGTATCCGGGATCTTGCCCTTTCGGTCATGACCCAAAGTTCATGACCATAGGTGAGAGTCGGAACGTAGATTGACCAGTAAATCGAGAGCTTCGCCTCCACTTCCTTCACTTGAAGCAGGAACTCTCCACCAACCTGAAGGGAACAATCCACCCTTTTCCGACTGAGAACCATGGCCTCGGATTTGGAGGTGCTGATTCTCATCCCAGCCGCTTCACACTCGGCT